TCTATTTAAAGCGTCATCTCGGAAAAGCATCAAGAAAGTGTATGCGTGGGTGCTTGATGTGCGTGCAGGTGTCTGGCAAAATGAAAACGAAACTCTAACCCTTTTCAATTCACCTCTTACCCCCATAACGCGAAACTGTAAAATCAATTATTTATTCATTTAAAAATAATATAAATTTTATTATATTTATATTATTTTTATTATTGAACAAAAATATTTTTTTTTTTCAAGAAAAGTTTGCAAAAAATTGCATTAATTAAATTAATTAGGATAGGAAACTTCTTCTAATTATTTCCCCTTTTATTCCCAACAAAATAATATTATCTCGTTAATATTATTTTCACTGTTTAATCTTTTTCCACACATTGTTTTTTTGTCGTTTATAAGAAAATCAGGTGACATTGAAAGTTTTCTTTTTTATTTTATCCGTAGCACAGGTCTATCTATTTTTATATATTATATTACAACTCTTGCAATCTTCTATTTTCCTGATATTTTTGTATATTCTATGTATGACTATATATCATGTATCATCCGGATACATCCTCTTGAACCCTCGCATGCTTCTTATTTCTTTAAGGGTCGCGCAGACAAAATTCTCAGAATTTTTTTTTTCTCTTTCCTAAAGTTGTCCTTGGTTATATATATAATAATCACAGGACCAACATGTAATATTAAATTATTAGTTGTGGATTAGATCAAATTTCGGATTATATCAATAATTAATTTTTTTATTAATATTGACAGAGAAATAAGAGAATGAAAATAAATATAAAAACAGAATTGTTTCATATTGTTATATAAATAAATTATTATCAATATTATTGATAATAAATAAAATAATAATAAAATAAAATAATTATTGATAATTAATAATTAATTTTGTTATTAATATTGACAGAGAAATAAGAGAATGAAAATAAATAAAAACAGAATTATTTCATATTGTTATATAAATAAATTATTATCAATAATTATTGATAATAAATGACTAAAAAGTTTTTTATTCTTTGAAGGGGAAAAATATATTTCTTTAAAAATTATTAGTAATAATTAAAAATAGAAAAATGAAATAGAAAACTAAAATGTAGAAAAAGGAAAACTAAAGCAATATTAGTTACTACATATAATTATTAAAAGCTTAAAACGTAATTATCTAAATTGGAAAGTGTTGCAACATTTTCGAAGCATAATAAAAAAAAAAATATTTCATTTCAAAAGGAATTTAAGAACAATAAATGTATTACGTTTTCGGCTTTTAATGACAGTCATATAATTAAAAAGCAGAAAAAAAAATCATTGAAACTATTTGTTTTTTAATACAAATACAATAATATTTTATACCTGTTAAATATCAAAAAGTATTGTATTTTTTACGATTTTTTATTAATATCAAAAATTAATTACACTATTCGGTGCATTCTATTTTATTTTTGTTCATGAGCCAAAAGTTTTGAACGTTCATATGAACGAAATTTTTTTTTCAACTTCTTTAAGTACAAATTTTATTACAAAATATTGTTTAAAATATCTAAAAAGATGTTATTAATTTAATAATTGTTTAATTTACTGTTTTATTTTGCATGGTCATCATAATTTTTAATACTTTATAGATTGAAAAAATATTTCGTTCATATGAACGTTTTGTTCGTTCATTATATGAAAGGCAAACCACCTAAATATGACGATTGACAGGCAATTGTTATAATTGAATAGCAAATTAATTGTGTGGGAAATCTTAATTCTTTTCCGAGTGAAACAATCCATTTCTTCTCCCCCACCACCCCTTTATTTTAATTTGTACTTAAGGGTACGGAGCATTAAAAACATCGATAATAAAATTCGACTACACAAATATATATAGGGTTTTGATTCATTCAAACAGGACATAGTTGTGTGAGTGCAGAAACTCTCTCATACAATTAAAGTTGATTTTGTATTTGTATTTATGCTAACATTACTGACACAGCGAAGCGAGTCGACGGTTAGTCAGGCAGGCTTTTACGCTAGTGTAAACTTCGAGAAGACATTATATGCTTCTCGATATCGTACAGTTTGAAGCGGCATTTGGAGAATCTAGCCGGCAGCCGGTCGACCAACCAATCAGCGTGCTGCATTCGTTTTATGCCCATATATGGCAAGAGCTGTGAATTGCCGTGGTGGGAAGGAAGCTGGAATAGTCCATTTTCATATCCAGGGATGTTACGTACCTGTGGCACTTGACTCATAAATTAAATAACAATAGAATATATGATTCATTGGAAAAAGGAATTTTTTCTCCAATTTTTTTTACTTGAAATAAAAATATCCCCCTATTAGTAATCAATGAAAACAATGATTTAGAGAATTTAATTAATTAGAACGATTTTGAAAGTTTGCATCAACCAATCATACCTGCGATCAAATTGGAATGGTCGCGATATTTTCAGGGCCGTATCACTACATTTTGAATTGCAGTTCATGAATTCAAAATTATTTTTGATAAAAAATATTTTGCAGAACTTTTAATTTTTTAAAGTTAAAAGGAGAATATTTTTTATTCCATAGAGGTTGTAATATTATTAGAAAAATTGTTAGAAAATTATTTCATTTCTCATATACAAGAGAAAATTATTTTATTTGTTTAAAAAAAAAAAAAATTACAAACTTTTACATCCATTTTTTAATTTCGTTTCATTTTAAATGTTTTTGTTTTGAAAAAATTTTTGTTTTAATGTAAAATAATTTTAAAACAAATGGAATAAAATTTTTTCTCCTAACGAATTACTTGCTAAAATTAAAAATGTGTTCTTATTTTATGATTGTTTATGTGATTGAATGAAATTGAGAAACACGTATGAGAATTGCAATTTCGAAGTTTGGTTTTTTAGAATTATAATTTATGGGGGGGTGATATTTAGATGGTGACGTTCCTGATCTTTAGCCCCAGAGTTCGTAACTCGCGGCGTCTTTCGGTTTTAGTTCGACTCGTCGTGTCACTAGTATCATCTGCAGTTCAGCTTGCCGATCGAGGACCAGGCATTATCATCAATTTCATTTCCTTTTTAAAAGGTGGGTACTTGTAAATCAATATAATTCTCGTAATTACGCGATTAAAACCGGTGCGTTTCGCGACGAACTGTCAGAATTTTTTGGGTACAAAGTTTCGTCGTTGGAACGGTCAGGCCGGCGAACAAGTCCGCCATAATAATTCTGGGCGTTGCTTCCTCGTGGCATTTTCAAATGGGGAAATTCATAATAAATTTGATAGATTTTATTGTTTTTTTTTTAATTCTTAAATCATTGGAAAGTGTGTTTTAATAATCCGACAGGTTGTAGTTGTCAGGTGGTTCCTTGACGTTCCGCGTGTTGCAGGTGGTCGTCACATCGTGGCGTCTATTATTAGGCATACATCGTCGTCTTTCTGCCCTAACCTACCTCGCCTCATGCGATCAAACACGTTTATTTTCATTCGTTTAATTCTCCATTCAGTATCCGCGAAATGTTGACATTGACCTCCGTTGACCCTTCCAAATGAGATAAAGATTTTGGTGAACAACCAGTTTTTTTGGTTAGCCGGAAGCCGGGCAATACTTTTAACGGTTTCTTTTTGTGTCTTCCCCTCTCTCTCTCTCTTCTCTTCCTAGAATCTCTGTCAGATCACTTTTTTGGTAAATTTTTTTAGATAAATAACTTTGCAAATTACAGGAAAGAAACGTTTTAAAACGTTCATCCCATTATGTTAATTTTCTCATTATTTTCAAACATTTTTGCATGTGTCGTTAAAGTTAAATTCATAAATATTTATTTATCTTCCGTTATTTATGTAAAAAATTAAAATTACATATTTAAATCAATTGTGTTATAAACAGGGATTTTAAAATGAACATTTTCAATATTGAATTCAATTATTATTTATTTAGTAATCCATGATTTCAATTATTATATTTTGTAATTATTAAATTAAAAGGAAAAAGAAAAAATTGTAAAAAATATTTTCGAAGTCTAAAAACATTTTCAAAGGGTTGAAAATTAATTTAATGATAAATTTATAAATATTATCAAACTTAATAATTCTGCTTTTTGATTAATTTTTTTTAATATCCAAGCTGCAGTTTAATTTAATTTGATTAAATTCAATTGCTAAATTAAAATATTATTTAGTCACAATACACCATCAATTAGGTTCTTAAAATCAATGTCAAAAATTTAAAAAAATTAAATTGTGTTTAAAAAACTCTTGAAAAAACTGCTAATTAAATATATTTGCTTAATTAAATATTTATATATTTTTCCGGCAGCTTAATTGGATTCTCAATAATTAATTAAATAGTATTGAATAAAAAGTTATAATAAAATTTTTTAGCAAGATTAAATTAAATTGAAAAAAAATAAAATTCATAAATTCCAGTTTTTAATTAATAAATATTCTTGATTCTTGAAATTTAATTATTAAAATACTAATTTAAACATTAATTTAAAATATTTATTACAAATACAATATATTTTTGAAGAAAAAAAAAAACACAGTTCTTTGATTTTTTTTTTAAATCTTAAAATTTAAGTTACACGTGTTGTCAGAAAATCTGTGACTTAGAACCACGTGATTCACATCTGATGAAGTACTACGTGAACTGACAGGCACTTGTGTGCGGGAAATCGAATTCCTCAAATGTCAAACAGTCTTGAAGTCATGGATTTCAAGCTGACTTGGGAGAAACCTTTACTGCAAGGATTTGATGGCATTGAGAAATATTTGAACAACAGGAAGAGAAGCAAAGGGGGGTATATTTAAAAAAAAAAAAGTAGACCTAAAGAGGATTATTTCAGTGTCTCGTTCGGTATATTTCGATGATGCATTTTTACAAAGATTGACGGTGGTTATTTCGCGTTTGCGCGGGTGCGAGGGGGGTGGTGTTGATAGAGAAGGGGACCCCCTCCCGCAACGGAACACTTCCATATATGGTAAAGAAAGCCAGGATTGGCCAAGGGTGTCCTGACTTTATTGGTCGATCAACATCAGGTGGGGGGATGAACAACGGCTCTGTTCATATAATACACTGCAAACCGGCTGTCGGCTACATTTTGTGTTAGATGCTGTACTTGTCAGCTGTACGACAATCTGTCGTGTAACATCCAAAGAAAGTTCTAAAACTTGTACATAACTTTTTTTTTATACCGAAAACGTAAGTTAAACAAGTTTTTATCAAAATAAAATCGGGATTATAAAAAAAAAAAAGTGTATTGTTTGTTCCGCGAAAATTGTTTAGCATTTCGTATATTATTCTTAAAGTGTGATTTCCCAATGATATTTTTCGAGTGGGTATATTTGCCGCAAAATATTTATAAAAAGGTGAAATTATCAAGTGGGTGTCTTTCTGAAATCCGTGCACCGTATTTGGTGTCCTGTGTCAATCTTTAAAATGGAATTTTTAATTTGTGTTCTGCAAATAGTGTTCAAAAATGGAAAAAAAATCTAGTGATTCTTCTTTTTCTTGGATTTCTCTTTGTAGAAAAAAAAAAGAAATGTTTAGTGTATTCACTTGAGAAAAGGATTTACGATTTTACGAATCTTGTTTTCTTCTAACAGATATTATCTCTAAAATCATTCACTAGTTATTTGATTCTTTTGTTTGCTATTATACTAGCAATTATTTTTCTAATTATTCTATGGTGGCTGTAAAATTTAAATGCACCGGTTTATCGACTGGTTCACACCGGGGCTGGGCGGGGCAGGGTGCGGTTAGAAGCCGACGCCTCCAAAGTTCACAATTGTTCGATTTGAATAGTAGATTATGAACTTTCTTTGTTCAAATTATTTGAATTATTGGTGATATTTTTAAATAATGGAATTATGATTTTAAGAGGATTTAGAATAGAGGTAGAGTGGTGAGAGAGTCGTGGCGAAAGGTTCCTACGTGTACTTTTCCAGGTGCCATCTTAAATATTTGCTTGGATCACGTGACGTGACTGATACTTGGAATTTGGCATTAACGGTCAAATTCCTTTCCTTTATCTCTCTTTTGAAATAGTTTTCCTTCGAAATCACAAAAGAGTGCTATCTTTTTTCGTTAATGGACGTTCTGAAATAATTAAAAAGTGATTTTTAACTTTTGAATTTAGGAAAAAAGGAATTTTAAATTAAATTATTTGAAAACTAATAATTTTTGGAATTGAGATGTAAATATTGATAAGTGTGATAAATAATTTTAAGATTACTTTAAAAATTCGAAACTGATTTGGAAAAGATTTATTGTATGTTAATGTTTTTGTGATAAATTAATAGTTGCTGATACTTGATTACTAGGCTGTTAAAAAAGAATTTTGAAAATAGTAAATAGTTTTAAAATTGAAATTAAATTTTACTGTCATTGACATTGAAAATTTGTTTGTTTTAGTCTTGATAAATTTAAGAATCTGGGATTTTGTATTAATTACTGCTTTTCTTTACAGTTAAATAAAACAACAGACTAAACATGTGTGACGAAGAAGTTGCCGCACTCGTAGTTGACAATGGCTCCGGTATGTGCAAAGCCGGATTTGCCGGCGATGATGCGCCTCGTGCCGTCTTCCCCTCGATCGTGGGAAGGCCACGTCATCAGGGTGTCATGGTTGGAATGGGACAGAAGGACTCGTATGTCGGTGATGAGGCCCAATCCAAGAGAGGTATCCTCACTTTGAAATATCCAATTGAACACGGAATTGTCACCAATTGGGATGATATGGAGAAAATCTGGCATCACACCTTCTATAATGAACTTCGAGTTGCTCCAGAGGAACATCCAGTTCTTCTCACTGAAGCTCCTTTAAATCCCAAAGCTAATCGTGAAAAAATGACTCAAATCATGTTTGAGACCTTCAACACACCCGCCATGTACGTCGCCATTCAGGCCGTACTTTCTCTCTACGCTTCCGGTCGTACCACCGGTATTGTCCTCGACTCTGGCGATGGTGTCTCACACACCGTACCAATTTATGAGGGATACGCTCTTCCTCACGCTATCCTCCGTCTTGACTTGGCTGGTCGTGACCTCACTGACTACCTCATGAAAATCCTCACCGAGAGAGGATATTCATTCACAACAACCGCTGAACGTGAAATCGTCCGTGACATCAAAGAAAAACTCTGCTATGTTGCTCTTGACTTCGAACAGGAAATGGCCACCGCTGCATCATCCTCCAGTCTTGAGAAGAGCTACGAACTTCCTGACGGTCAAGTCATCACCATTGGCAACGAACGATTCCGATGCCCCGAGGCTCTCTTCCAGCCATCCTTCTTGGGTACGATTCATTACTTTGAAATTAAATTTAAAAAAAAGAAATTAAATAGCTAAAAAAAATAAATTAAAAGTTTTAAAGACAGAGAAATTAATAAACAATTTTCTTTACAGGTATGGAAGCTTGTGGAATTCACGAAACCACATACAATTCGATTATGAAGTGCGATGTTGATATTCGTAAAGACTTGTACGCCAACACTGTTCTTTCTGGTGGTACCACAATGTATCCAGGAATCGCTGACAGAATGCAGAAGGAAATCACTGCCTTGGCACCATCCACGATGAAAATCAAGATCATTGCACCACCCGAAAGGAAATACTCCGTCTGGATCGGAGGATCAATTCTCGCTTCTCTCTCCACCTTCCAACAGATGTGGATCTCCAAACAAGAATACGACGAGTCAGGTCCATCAATCGTCCACAGGAAGTGCTTCTAAGCGTCTAGTCGCTAATTTTTGTCGATTTCTCACATTTTCGACTCTTGAGATTATAATAATCAATGTTATTACGATATTATGAAAAAGAAAAAAAGTACCATACGATAAATCGATGCAAAAATGATGCTCATTAAAAATACGAGTTTAGGAGTATTAAAATTATTTGAAAAATTTCTTCTTTTTTTTGCATGAAAGTGTAATGTACAGCTCTTATAAATGGAAAATTTTTTTTTTTTTGACGTTTATAAAATGATTGTAATAACAAGAGACAAGCAAATGAGTAAGAGAGCGCACATTCCAAAAAAAATTAACAAAAAAAAAAAAATATTACACTTTTGTGCAAAAGAATCTTTTTTGTTACAACTCAAATTTGTGATAAGCATCATTTTCATCTCGTCTTATTGTCAATAATATTTCTTGACATTGATTATTATAATCTAAACCTCATTTCATGTCATTAATTACTGTATCTAAAGCTTGTCGAAGAAATACAATAATTATTCTAAGGATTAGTTTTATAATTTTAATTCAATAAAATTGTTTTCAACGAAAAATGTACTCAGTTTTATTAGCGGCAGAGTTACAGTATTATTTTTTTCTTTTTCTGATAAACTGTGAATTATTTTGCAAATTAAAATGACATTACCTTTAAATTAAACGTAGAATAAAAGTTATACATTTACCTTTAAAAAAAAAACAATTGTGTTAATGCTTTTTTTCATCATTTTAAATATTTCCTTTTTGTTCAAATAAAATAAAAACAATTGATTTTTTGATGGATTGCTTATTTTCTGAGAATTTATTTTTTTTAATAATTTATTATGGAGGAAAATGTCCAACAGTGGATTATATTTAATTATAAATAAATGTTGTCATTTACTGTTTTTTTTTTTAGTAATGACATTAAAATAAATCTTAAATAAGTTTTTTTTTTTTTAATATTTGCTTTAGTTTAATAATATTGACGGGATAGGAATTTTTTTTTTAAATATTTGCTTTAGTTTAATAATATTGACGGGATAGGAATTTTTTTTTTAAATATTTGCTTTAGTTTAATAATATTGACGGGATAGGAATTTTTTTTTCTTTTAATGGATTGAAATTTCACGTCATTGGTATTCCAATGCGCGGAACGGATCCCAATTGTGAATTTATCAACGCAAGTGTAGGCACTGACAATGGTTACTGTATACAGTAATCGTTATGCTAAATTTTTGGTGTTTTTAGTTTTATGAGTGATATAAATAAAGAAGCAAATCACATATGTTCCTCACAAATTATTCAAAATGCCTGATGAAAACAGTGGCTCCCAATATTCTACTTGCGTAAGTAAACAAAAGAATTTTGACGTATATAAACATAACCTCAATTTTTTGAACAAAGACAATTTAAATTATTTCCTTTTCAACGAATATTTTTTTTATAATAAAAACATAAATCATTAAATATAAATTAATTTAACTTGTCTTAATTAAGTCAAATATTGAAAAAATTAATATTTTCATATTCTATATTTATAAAACAATATTGAAACAAAAACAAGTTGTAACAATGTACATTTTTACAGTTTGTTTTGATTTTAATTGTTGTTTTTTTAGAATGAATTGTATTTTATATACTTTTTACACCTTTTAATTTATGATTTTATAATAGTATTTTAATTTATTTTCAGGTTGGCCTGATATATATTTTTAATTTAATAGTTGGTACAGGAGCATTAACATTACCAGCTGTTTTTAGTCGTTCAGGATGGTTACTTGGTGTGATAGTTATTTTAATTTTAGCCCTAATAAGTTTCATTTCTGTTACATTTGTAATAGAAGCAATGGCATCGGCTAACGCTTTAATTAAATGGAAACGTATTCAGCACAATAAACAAGAAGTTAATGTACAAGATTCAAATGAATCGTTATCTGAGGGAATTGAATCAATAAAAGAAACTACTTCCGAGGATTGTGAGGATACACCTCTTGTTAATCAACTAGCGGACAATTTAGAACAAAACGAATTAACATATAGATATTATGTTATTGATGAGAAAATCGAATTGGGAGAAATGGCATCCATGTTCTTCAGTAAATTTGGAATAGTTCTATTTTATACATGTTTAATTGTTTATCTCTATGGTGATTTGAGCATTTATGGTGCAGCTGTGGCAAAAACTTTAGCCGATGTAGTTTGTACATATATACCTGAAAATTTCACAATCAATGACACAATTCCAGATACTGCAGCATGCTGGAAAAATTCAAAATATAACAGACAAGATGCCTACGAAAATTATTTGGTTGGTTCAAAGAATATAATTTTTACATTAGAGTATGTAGATTAAATAATAAAGATATTAAATATTTTTTTCTTTTCAGACACTTTTTTTAGTAGTGATGGGATCTTTTGCATTCTTTAACGTTCAAAAAACCAAATATTTACAATATTTAACGTCAGCAATGCGATGGCTTGCTTTTATTATAATGATTATATTTGCTATACAAAAAATTATTGCCAATGGTCCTCAAGGAAATCCAGCAGCTGTCAATTTATCAGGTTAGTGAGTTAATTTTATTTTTTTTATTTATTTTATTTTATTTTATTTTTCAATTTTATTTATTAAAATTTTCTTTTTCCAGGAATTCCAAGATTGTTTGGAGTTTGTGTTTACTCATTTATGTGTCATCATTCACTTCCAGCTTTGGTTGCTCCAATAAGCAATAAGGGAACACTCAACAGGTCATTAGCATTTGATTATTTGTTAATTGCCTTTTTCTACTTGATATTAGCTTTAACGGGTACTTTTGCTTTTGCCCATTTGGACGATTTGTATACATTAGATTTTGGTCCACGAGTACCTGGCAATATTTCAAATTTATTTGTAAAAATAATTGAATATTTTTTAACTTTGTTTCCTGTTTTTACATTAAGCACAAATTATCCAATAATTGCAATTACCTTGAGAAATAATTTACAAACACTTTTATTTAAGCAAGATACGAGATATAATTTTATTATTCGAAATATATTAGTACCCATTTTTGTTATACTGCCACCATATTTTGTTGCAAAATATACTAAAGATTTGTCAATTCTTGTTGGAATTACTGGCTCTTATGCAGGTGCTGGAATTCAATATATAATTCCAACACTTTTAGTTTATTATGCTAGACGTCAAACTAGTGAGATAATTGGACTTGGTGTTATGAATAATTTTGCGAGTCCTTTTAAAAGTATTTATTGGCTACTTTTTGTTTTTGTATGGTCAATAGCTTGTATGATTTTAGTTTCGGTGAATTTGATTGAAATTCATTTGAATCCAAAGTAAAAATTTACTTTTTAATTAAAAAAAAAAAAAAATGAGATTAGGTTTCAGATTTGAAACATCTTTGATTTTTGATATTAGATCTGTTGTACTTTTAAAACTGCCTTGTGAGAATGAAATTCAAATAGACAATACTCTGGCACAAGTCAAGATACATACGTGATAAAATATAAATATTATGTCATTTTTACATAATATTGTTTTAAAAAATATTTTTAATTTGTCTTTATTTTGATTTATTTTTTTTTATTTAGAAAAATAGTAATAAGTGTAAACACTTATTTCAATAGATTTTAATTTCAACTTGTTAAAGTAACTATTAATTTTTTTCAAGTAATCATTTGCATTTTTAATGGCCTATTTTTAAAAACTTAATATAAGAAGTAAAATAAAGATAATATATATTTTTTAAATATACAAAATAATTATAAATTGAAAAAAATGGTGCCAATTTTAATACTGCAGGAAATTAATGATAATTATAATAGATAGTTTAAATATTTTGCTAAATAGAAAAAAATGATCTTCTATTTAGATATATTTAAAATATATTCCCTTACTGATAGATTTTAATTCATGATTTGAAATTTGTTTTTCTTCAATACAAATTATTTATCAAGAAACGAAATTTTAAATTTATCAATTAAAATTGGCAATTTTAAAGTTCCTACAATTTAAAATAGTGCAAGAGTTATATATTTCTCCGTTGAAAATTTAATAGGAAATTAATTAATTAATTATGTAAATAGTGAATAATTATATTGTACTCTATTGTCATTATTGTAAAAATGTATATTAATATTCAAGGGAAGGTTAAAAATAAAATTTTTCTCTTGTTAAATATTTTTCTTAGTATATATATATAATATAGATGTACATATTATATATATTTATCAATATTAATATATCTTCAAGTGAATAGATTTAAGCGTGACATTCCTTAACACGAATAGAATTCTCTTTATTAATTCAACAATATGTCATTATATTAAAATTTCTATATTAGACACATTTTATATTGTCTCTCATATAAAATGCAAGGCTTTTATATAGATGCATGCAAATGTCAAAAGTTAAAAACATGACGAAAATGTTAAAAATAAAAAGAAATTATTTCAAATTTTTTTTCCGGGGATATTTGGCGTAAAGCCGATTTAGATTAAAAATAAATTCAAGTTTGAAAATCACTCTGATTTAATAATAACCACTGAGATAACAATCTCGCTAATGTTACAGAATTTGTAGATGAAAAAAAAAAATTTTCTTCTTTTTGTAGAACAAAAATTCTTTTATTTTCTTTGCGAAAATACTCTGTGCGGACTTAAATAATAATTAATGATAGAATTTAAGATAAAAATTTCTCAACTCTTTTGTTTTTATAGAATTGAGAAAGTGGCTTAATTGACAAAAAACTTTTAAAATAATATTCCACATTAGATTCATATGAATCTCTCATACTTAATTTTTTTTAAACAATTTGATTGTTATCAATAATCATTCAGGGTACAATTAACGTAGTTTAAATCTCGCAAACAACAATTTTTCATCATCTCCGTTTACTATTGGCACATGTAATATATGATAACCGGAAATAGAATTTTAATTGAGTCACAGAATAACGTTCACTCGTATTATTATAGGGCCTGATAAAATACTTTTACTCCCTTACTTGTATTCTTCTTCTTTTTTTTCGTACGTCAGTCTTATCTTGTACCACATAGAAATTTTTTTAGAGGCTTTTTGTTTCTCGTTTTAAATACTTTATCTAAGCCATTTTGAAAACATACAAAATCGGACTTCCAGATATGCTTCGAATTTGTCGTTAATTGGTAATAATTCTATCGACTTAAGGCTGTGAATTTATTCAACCACAGCTTGGTACGGATTATAATAATTTGTATTTTAAGTAAAAATCTTTCGATACTGAGAATCTTAAGCCAAAATACTTTTTTTTACGTCTTTCAGAAATTGAACACATAAAGGCCATTATATAATGCCAAAAACTTTTGATCGCTTGTATACATTTATAATTTATACTATTTATATTTAATGGTATACACCCACACGTGTTTTAATTAACTGAGCTTATTAATCAATGAGCGACGATCGGTGCAAATTAATATATAAATAATTGATAATTTTACGCTTTTTTAAAAACTAGTTCTGACTAGTTATTTTGTTCCTCGCTATAGAAAAAAAAAAAAATTTCTTTGAAATAATCAACATTTCAAAATATTGGGAAATCAATTTTTCAAATCGAATTCTCTTAATTTTAGTATTGACGTGAATTGTTAAGAAATTGAAAAATGAAATAGTTGACGTTCCTGACAATGAGGTTTCTTAGGTCTTTTTTTACTCGTAATTGTCAGCGAAAGGACATTTTTCATCGGGATGTCCAACGCACTCGATTACGGGATCATGACTACTGTCCCACATTCCGGGACCGCATTGTCTACAAAGGCCGGCCAATGTGCAGGGCAACCTATCAAGCTGTCTAAAATGATGCAGTAAACCTCGAGCTTTTCGAAGTATTACTATACCATCCATGTACATTGCTAATGAACTAAAGTGCAATAACATTTCATCGGTTCGCAAATCTTGAGCTATTACATCGTCTGCATAGACGCACATTATGGCCAAACAAAGGAACAAATGAAAATGATCCGTTAGATAATTGACCCAACATGCTTCCCACATGATCAATGCCATTTCTGTTGGAAATTCACGTTTTAGACATCTAAAAATAAATGTAAAATTATTTGCCGAATTTAAATATTCAGGATTTAAAAATAGCTAAAAAAAATTCACTTACAATAGAACCCAGCGATGGCAAAATAGCAATTCCAAAGCGTCAGTGTGTTTTTGAAGATGAGAATAAAAATCAGGAACCATTATTCGAATTAATTCTCTGAGGTAGCTCAAATTTCTATCCATATCAATATCGGTTGGTGTACAAACGGCAACTGATCTTTGCATTAAACCGGCAAAACACCAAAAAGCATCGATTTCGGAATTTAATTCCGCCAATAGCGGTGATAAGAGATCCGACATTCCTTGCGTATAACCAAGTGGTGCATTGTAAACAGCATAATTAAGAAGAATATTTCTAAAAAACAAACAATTTTGTTTAATTCTATTTTCGATTTTTTCAATGAAAATTTAAAATAAAATTAAACTCACTTCATCACTTCAATATTGGGATTATCTTCACCGGCGTAATATGGATTTGCTCGATCAGTTCTAACGACATCTTTTTCAACAATACAAACAACATTTCGCCAAAATCGTTCACGTTCCTCGGATCCCATATTGCGTCTTCGACGTTCAATTTCCTCGTACTCTTGATGTCTTATCGCGTCAATTTGTTCTCTATCCTCGTAAGTGCTTTGATAAGAATAACAGTGTAAGAGAAAAGGCCACACTAATTTTCTTAAGGCAGGCTCCAAACCACCGAAAAATATTCCTTTTCGAAGTGCCAAATCATCTTCCACTTGTCCTCTTTCATTTAATAAATCCTTCCAAGCCAGTGATGTTATCATTGGCACTTGGCCCTCTTCTGGATGAAGTTCATCTCGACTAACTTCTGGTCGACACACCATGAAATGTCTAATACAAACAATTTCAACAAATATTTATTTAATATAATTAATTTGAGAGTAATTAATTAATTCAATTTAATTAATTTGATTTAATTTAATTAATTTGAGAGTAATTAATTAATTTAATTAATTTGATTTAATTTAATTAATTTTATTTAATTTAATTAATTTGACAGTAATTTTTGAATTAAAATACCTGTAGGGAAGGATTTCTTCAGCCTCAGCGTCCAATCTGGGATAAAGAAGCTGATGCCATTGATGTAAAGTTGTTGCCAATCGATCGAGACCACCATGATGAAAATGTAGAATTTTATATTGACTTTCTCTGCTAGCGACTACAAGTTGTCCACTTGTGCAACCTGGATCGGCAAAAAATAAACGAAGAGATCTCATTTCACTAAGGTCGACGGAAAATCTTCTACAACGATGGGCTCTTCGTAGTGTTACAGGCGATGCTGTTGCACTTTCCGGAAATGTTAAATTATGCTGAAGAGCTAATAATTCTGGTGTTCTCATCCACGTTGGTATTTCTTCTGCACCAAAAAAAAAAAAAAAATTAATATCTTTTCCTAAATTTCAAATAATATTTTATACTCACCATCATTTGGTACAGTAACAAATAAACTGCAATTTGACGTGAGGGAGAGACTTCGACTCTTGATACTCGCATTGTCACTGTATAAAAATCGTGGTTCTTCATCGATAATTTTGCCATTTTGCTCCAATGATTCTTGAATTCGTTTTCCTGTGAAATTATCATTTTTCTCATCTTTCGAGTCAATTGATTCGGATGTCAATCTACTGAGACTGTTGGCGTTATTTTCCTCATTCACAATTGGACCTTCATTCACTTGTTTTGACGCTGTTTCTTCGTTCAAATCTTGACAATCCGAGACCTCTGATGTTTTTGGTGATGTTTCCAAATCCTCCTGATTATTTTTCAAATGATTCTCAACTTGCTGTAATGATTCCACAGGAGATGTTGAATTACCACCTGAACAAATACGTTCGCAATCTCCACAATTCACCTGTTCTTTCACCTTTAAAGAAGTAGGAATAATTTAATTTTTATTTTTTTTTATTTAAAGTAATAAATTTGATTGTATACCTCTAAACAAACGTCGACTCTCTCTTCCTCAACACCGGGAATTTGTGAAGGACTCGCATTTTTTTCACGATTTTTTATAATATTTTCAAGAGTAGTGGGATATTTTCGTAGTGTACTATTTGGAATCCAACTGAGATGTAGAGTTGGTACATTTGAATTTTTATTGATCTTACATGTCAGTGTCATATATCCAGGATGATGTACAATATCACAATGCTGTCTCATCAATGTTGGCGGATGAACACAGACATTGTTTTTACAAAAAAGTGCCTCTCCATCCTGGTACATCACCCGGCGAGAATCCTGACAACCATCACCAAGAATGTAACTGCTCGCCTTTCTCAGGATGTTTGGCAGAGGCATTTTACACAATAGCTCCAGTTTGACGTTTCACACGTGATTTTTTATCACGTTCTATTCATTATTGTTTCTTCATTTTTTAATTTTTCTTATTCCAGTAATAAATTGCAAAAAATTCTTAAGAGATGTCATCTCGTAGGATTAGAATTCACTAGCCTTTAAAAAAAAAAAAGTTATTTAATTTTATTTAAGGTTATCAAAATAAAGGAGAAAAATTTTCTTTTTATGTAGTGAAGTACATAAAGATTCAAAATCAACTGAGATCAAAAATTATTATTAAACATCAATGTAATTGGAAAATTAGAACTTTTCGACTATTTATAAATTGTGTAATTAGTGGTTAATGAAGTTTAAAGAGATTATAATGATAAAATTTAAAAAAAATAATTGAAACCATTTTTCTATTATCTCTAATCGTGATAGTGGTTGGCAAAAGAATAAATGAATATTAATGTCGTGACCTATTTGAATATGTTCTCGAGGTTAATAATGAGGAAATATCTTGACCGTTTTGAAATATTTTATCTAATGTTTGTTTATTCATTGTTAAAATTATAATTCATAATGATATTTTAAATAGGAATCGAATTTATTAATTAACATGAAACTCTAAGTGCGATTACTTAATTTCAAGTCATTTTTTCTTAATAATTATAGTAATTTTATTATTAATTTATTTATTATAACACTTATCATTAAATTTAATTTAAAAAAAAAATTCATTACTATGTCAACTATAGTTGTAAATCTATTTCCTTTTAAGATATCTTTATTTGCACGGAACCTGATTTTACCGGAAGCCGTATATATTTAAAAGTGTTTACTAGATATGAAACTTGAAATTTAAACTCGAAAAAAAGAATATCATTTTATAATTAAATTTTTTTATTAAATTTACTTTCTAATATAAATTTATTTTTCTAATTTCTTATTTGCAATTATTTCTAAATAAAAAATTTAAAAAAAAAATTTCTTTACTCACCGACTTTGCACCATATTGACCAAATTGTAGATTCCTTTTGAAATAATATTCTGAATGAAAAATTAACTTTTAATTTTTCAAAGTTAAGTGTTTTTCTCAAATTTCATGCTTTAAACAGCTGTTGAGTTTTTATTTTTTTGATTATGAATCAATAATGAAGAATTGTATTTTATAAACTTCATTTATATTTATTGTAATTTAAAGTCATCTTTGATTTTTTGTTTGATAATTAAAATTGAATTTTTAAGGCTCGTTTGTGCTTTTAATGTATTTAGTAAAATTGACGTAAAAATTGTTGTGACAACAGACCATAAGGAAAGCAGACTTGAGTATAGGATCAATATTTCCACCTGATCACTGTGACTGATCTCTTCTATATAAAGTCACCTATATTTAAACGTCAATATAATTTTTTTCTCACTATTTTCATTATTTCTCATTCACTGCTTTAGCTTTGTGTTTTAATTTAAAACTTTTCGTTTCAATTTGATTTTCCAGTAAATACTGATTTAATATTTTTACAAGTGTCGTTTACTACTTGATGCCAATTTCAGCACAGGCGCACACACATATTTCGTTTAGTCCGCATGTGCACTAAATTCACAAGACCCATTGTAAAGAGAAAAAAAATCATTTTAATTTTTAAAAAAAAATTCGAATTTTTGTATTAAAAATTAAATTCCTTTTTTTTAAAGTTAAAAAGAAGTAAATTTAATGTTAATTATATTATTAACAATTAGAATTGACTAACTATTTAATAAACATAAATTATTTTACTAAATATTTACTGATATAAAAATTTTAATAGTAAGAAATTATAAACTAAAAAATTTCTTTCTTTGAAATTAAAACATATTAACACTTATAAAAAAAAATAAAATTAAAAATGATTTTTTTTTTAATTTCCCATAAACTGTTAAAGAATCATCAACATTTTTCATATTCAAATGGAATCTTGTGTTCTTTACCAAGTACCAATGCTGCTTTTGGTCCACGTTTAATATACGTGATTGTTGAATAGGCAGAGAAATGAAAATCTTCTTGTAAATAGCCAAGCATTAATAAATGACCTATAATTGCTTCTCCAAATTCACGGGAAAATTTTGGAGTTGGAATACTTGAAACTCGTAATGCCACTGGTCCCTTATTAAACCATGAATCAATTAATTTCAATGGTGTGAGTCTTGTTTCCGATTGCGCTGCATTCATCATAATTTGATAAAGATATGAACAATAAGTACACACGTCAATTACTTGTTTTTCCCTTGGTTTTTTACAATGATCACACATTTCGTCACAATCTTTTTCGGTCCATTTCTCCTCGAAATGAGTTGCAATTAAACTTCTTCGACATGATGATTGATTGAGACAATAGGCTAACATTTTGTATAAATTCTCAAGACCCACTTTATCTTGAAATACCATTGGGCTTAATTTAAAAACGTCACTTAATTTAAAGAAAACAATACAGTGGGATCTTTTCCCATCGCGGCCAGCACGTCCACTTTCTTGATAAAAACTCTCCATTGATTTCGAAAGGCAATGATGAATGACGAATCGAACGTCAGGTTTGTCGATTCCTAGACCAAAAGCAATTGTTGCCACCACTGCTTGATATTCGCCATTTATCCATTTTGAATAAACTTTTGTTCTGAATTCCGGTTCGAGAATTGCATGATAGCAACCAACTTTTAATCCTCGAGCTCTCAAGTCTGTTGTTAACTGTTCCGCGTCTTTTATTGTAGTTGTGTAAATTATTCCACTTTTGCCTTCGAATCTATTTTTTAATAAATTTTCAATCATTCCAAGACACGCATCTTTCTCCGTTGGTTTCCTTCGAACTTCATAAAATAAATTTGGTCGATTAAAAGAGGAACGTAGTATTAAACATCCTTTAATTTCAAGCATTTTTTGAACATCAATAATTATTTTCGCCGGTGCTGTTGCAGTGAGTCCAAGTAGAGGAACAGTAGGGAACATTGATTTTAAAATTCCTAAGAATTTATAATCTGGTCTAAAATCGTGACCCCATTGACTACAGCAATGTACCTCATCAATTGCAAATCTATCGAGACGTTCCATTTCATAAGCCTTTTGTAATTTACTCATAAATCTATTTGATTTTGACATATATTCTGGAGTTACGTAAATTAATTTTAAATTCGATTTTGAATCTATGAGAGCAGTCATAATTTTATTTGTATTTTCTTTTCCCGCTTTGGCACTTAACATCATGGCATTAATTTTTTTTGCATGTAAACCGTGCAATTGATCCTCCATTAATGCAATCAACGGGGAAACAACTATTGTTATTCCTTTGCCAATAATAGCTGGCAATTGATAACACAAACTTTTACCACCACCTGTTGGCATAACTAAAATTACATCTTCGCCCGATAAAGTTGCATTTATAGTTGGCAATTGTAGTGGTCTAAAATTTTTTATTTTGAATACGTCATTTAAAGATTTTTTCAAATTTTTGGACCACTCGAAATTTTCCTGATCCCAATTTTTCTCGGCAAGGCATAAACTTTTTTTTAAAAGAGCATCGTCATGTAGTTTATTTTTTCGATTTATTAGAATTTGTTTTCGATCTTCTAATTTTTGTAATTCACTGTCAATTTGTTTTAATTCGTAATCAATTGCCCTTATTTCATCCTCTTCTGTGACTAAAAATAAAATTATTTTTATTTAAATTAATAAGTTTATTTTTAATTAGAACCAATTGTTTTTTTTAATTTTCTCAAAATATATTCGTTTTATTTTTCTCTATAAGGGTTTTTAGTTTGAGGTTATAAGAAGTTTGTAAATTATTATAAATACAAAAGCGTTATAAATATATATATATGTAAATAAATTCACTAATTACTAGTTAATATAGTAATATAATTATTAGTGTTAGATCTATATTAAAAGAGAGAAAATTATTCATAACACCAAACGCTATATGTAGACAATTCGTAAACAAATGAAAATCATTTACTTACTTTCGTAATAATCACTATTATTTGTTTTTGATTTTTTAGATGAACTGGCCATTTTAAATATAGACAATTTATCCACTTTTAAAATTATTCGAACATTTTACAAAGAATAAACAGAAATAAATACACCGCTTCGATCTCGTGGGACGCGCACAGGGACATAAACATAACCTCAAATAGTACTAAACAAATAAGAAACGCGCTGTCTGCTACAAGATCAGCTGATTGTATACAATCAACACTGTCCGCAGGCAAGTAACATATCCAAAGTCCATATTAACGCACAAATTATTTCTTCCAAAATCTTCTGCTTCCGATATATTTTTTGAAAGTGTTTTCATACTATGTTAAAAGCAGCCTTCAATAAATGTCCTACTTGGCTTGAAAATACAATTATATCTACATACTACAAGGGTAGATTATTATTGTACCATATTTTTTCGAAAAAAAAAACTATTTTTTAAAAATAGTATTGTTTAAAACTATAATTGATTTATTGAAATTTTTCAGCGAGAAGTTTAACGTCAAACGGTCGTAGATTTTTGCCTCAATTAATACAACAGAGTGACATGAAGGTTTTAATTCTTCCAGCTTTACAGGATAATTACATGTACCTCGTATGTATAAAATTTATTTTGCTTGTTTTAACTATTTTTTTTCTTTCGAAAAAATAAATATTCACAATAATAGAAATTGATTTGAATTTATTAATCTATAGATCATTGATGAGGTATCAAAGGAAGCAGCAATTGTAGATCCTGTTGATCCTGACACTGTTGTCTCGGCAGTTAAAGAACACAGTGTAAATTTAACAAAAGTTTTAACCACTCATCATCATTGGGATCATGCTGGGGGAAATGAGAAATTATTCAAAATGGTGAATAATCTTAAAGTTTATGGAGGAGATGAGAGAATCGGTGCACTTACAAATAAAGTGAAACACGGTGATAAAATTGACATTGGAAATTTAAATGTCAAATGTCTTTTTACTCCTTGTCATACGAGTGGTCACATTTGCTACTATGTCACTGGCGATGAAGAAGCTCCAGCTGTTTTTACTGGTAATGCGATCGATAATCAGAAAACAATAATTATTATTAATTTATATTTTAATTTTCAGGTGATACATTATTTGCGGGTGGTTGTGGAAGATTTTTCGAAGGAACTGCCGAACAAATGTATGAAGCACTTATCGAAATTTTAGGCAATTTACCCGAAGAAACGGTATTGTAATTTTATTTATCTTTAATATATATTATTGAAAAGAAAATATAATTGAATTTTCTTTTATTACAGAAAGTCTATTGTGGTCATGAATATACAGCTGCAAATTTAATGTTTGGTCAACATGTTGAGCCTGATAATGAAGCAATCAAGGAAAAAATTGAAAAAGTCAGCAATTTACGTAAAAATCAAATTCCATCTGTACCTAGTTCCATTGCTGAGGAGAAATTGACGAATCCTTTTATGAGGGTACAAGAAACGAGTGTCATGCAACATGCTAAAACAAATGATCCTATTGAAACAATGTCTGTCATACGCAAAGAGAAGGACAACTTTAAATGTTAGGTCATAAAATTACAATTATTACATTTATTTTTCTACTATATTATAGTTTTTAAGTACCTTTCTAATTTTAAATTCTGTTTCTAATTTAAAAGGTTATTAATTAAATAATAGTGGCTTTACACTTATATACAAAGACAATTTAATTATTAATTACGTATTTACAAATAATTTGTACATTAAGTTACATTTAGAGACATTTCGGTAGGCGTGTCTTCCGATTTTTTGTTATAAATCTGCATTTCAGCAACATATTTTTCCTTTGATCGTTCATACATATCGTAGTAAACCTAAAAGTTGTTGCTCATATTAATTGATAATTATTAGCTAGGAATTTAAATTGTTAGTGACAATAATTAAAATTTGCAATATAAGATAGAAGAGAATATTTTTTTTTACCTTTTTATCATCGGAACTGAGAGACTTCCACGTTGTCGCTAATTGTCTGGTCAATTCTTGTTTGCTAGGTTCTGGTTCTCCAGCTAATCTCTCCATAACTCTAGGCCTTTGCTCTTGACAAAATTGAAAGAAAGGATTCGCAGGTCTCTTTGGTGCGTTTGGATCAGCTTTGGTGCCTTTTCTTTTCGTTCCTTTTTTCGGTTTCTCCTCCTTGGTGTGGTTAACACTAGATTTAGAAGCCTTTTCTTGTTTTGGTGCAGCTTGCAAAATGCTATTCTCCTCGAGAACACCCATCGGTGCTTCCCTCCATCTATCACCATGCTGATCCAGTCGATTAATTAAAAATCTTTAAGAAAATATATTAAATTAGACAAATGAAGCATTATTCTTTCTTTTCACTTAAATCATAATGAGGGAATTAGAACTTATAAATTAAAAAATAAACGAAGCAAAATATTATTCACTAATTAAATTGTTTTGAATGCACTTAATTTTTCAGTTATAAATCATCTCGATTAAATATAAATTAAATTTATTTGAAAATTACACGAAAAACTTGTAATAATTTTAAAATTGAATTAAATGAATAAAAAAGTGAAATCGTTTGTTTATAGATATAATGTTAGTATACAAAACATAACCTAAAAAGCCATACTTTTTCTCTTTTCTTGTCCTCTTGAGAAGTTTTCTTACTCGCTGAATACGATAGACAAGTCTTTCATTATCCTAGAATAGAATGTGAAACAGAAAAAATCATGCAAATTATTGACAAAACAAGGCGTATTAAAAGTATTTGTTGATTTTTTTTTCCCTTGACATTTTTCAAGTATTGTGTTTAGAAAAATTTTATTCTCACCTGCTGTAAAGTCTCGCATCTGTCGAGTAGGAGTTGGTACTTTGTTTTATAAATATCAAATTCTGATGGTTCTGCTTCGTACTCTGACTCGTCCGACATTGCACTTTTAATTTTTAATTAAATAAATACATTATTTTTATCCATTTTTCTGTAAATTCAACAATGCACGCCATATAACGCTTTGACGCATCTTGTTTATATATAGTTTTTCCATTCAATGACAGATGGCAATGATGTTCCGTGAAATGAAATTTCTATTTTATCTACAATAATTCAAATTTGAATTTAATTATTTGTATTATTATTATTATTATTACTGCCATACAATGATTTTTTTTAATTTTCAATTTTATTACAATTAAGAAATAAAAATTAAGACTCAAAATTAAATGCAAATTTCAACTTTCTTTTGTTTACCAAACATATAGAACTTTATTGACGTATTTTGAATATGTTTTTAGATGAATAATACTTGTTTTTCAATGAAAAATTACGTCAAAGAAAAATCTATACGCAATGTAGCATTGGTGAGGGTAGTTTGAAAGCAGGCCAAAATAATGTAATTTCTATTACTATCTTTTTAACAGCATCTTATATTATTTATATATCTCATATATATGTTGTTGTTTTTTTTTTATAAAAAAATTTTTTGTTATATTTATCAATTGCATATTTCAAAATTTGTAATTTATTTAGAAAATTTGGGTTTAAATGCAATTTTTTATATTAAAAAAAAAGAATTGCATTTAAAAATAAAAATGATAACAAAAAATCGGTCAATTTATAAAGGAAGATAAAAAAAGAATTGAGATAAAGTATAAAAGCCGCATGGAGCAGACGACGCAACGGGAGGGTTGCGGAATTACGCATGCGTATTTTAGAAAAGCATAGTCAGTGTAAACTCACCCCTCGTTTTTTGGCTTTGTCGACCAAAACACACATATATGAGAGCTTGATTCTTTGCGCATAGTCCTCGACGTCCATCTTCGAAAATCTAGAATCTCTTTATAGTTATAATCATACAGTGTGGCAACACCTGAAAAAGAAGTTTTATAAATTCCATTTTCTTCTTGTGTAGCAAAACAAAAAAAAATCATTCCTAAGAAGTGATCTCAATTTTTTTTTTTGCGAAAGTAACGTTTTAAAAACTTCACTTTCGAATTGACCCTTATCTCGAAGTCTTTAATTGACCCCTCTCTAGTGTTGTCGTGATTCTAATTAAAGTTCGCACTCCCAGGCGAAGGCTACAGCGTCGTTTGGTGTGATTCGCGTGACCAAAAATTTACTTGGATTCAATTCACTTCCTTATTCTCACTCCAAACGCTTTTATATTTTATTGCTCTTATATATTTCCTCTATTGTATATCGTATTTTAACAAAGTAGTGTTCATATATATTTATCAGTCTGCAATTATTTTCACGACAATTTAACATGCAGTCCGTGGCAGTTTTTTAGCACCTGTTCAATAGTTGAGACCTTGCGGTGAGTGTGTTAATTATTAATTTCGTTAAAAATTGCCGTCAAACAATTTAGTGATAAGCAAAACCGGTAGTAGGAAAAATTTTCTTTCTTAACATAATCGATAATAAAAACCATTGAAATATTGTGCGTGCATCAGCTGATTTGCAAACACAAGTCTTTTATTATATTTTGAATTCATATGAGATAAAAATAGTGTCATACTTTATTTTTGAAAATTCTTTAAGTATGTATTATTTATTAATATAATTGTTTATCGTTTTTTTTAAATATTTATCTGATATAAAAATAATATAAGACGGCACGTTTCTTTAATATATATATATATATATATATTTATTTACGTGTTTTACATTCTTGCGTGCTTTAAGAAATTTTTTTTTTTTAATATAACTTGGAAACTTGAGGTTCAGAAATAGATTTATTATTGACTTTTTAGTATATGAGTAATTTGCCTTTTTTTCAGTGTAAAATAAAATCTGGATAAATTTTTTTTATAAATATATTAAATAAAAATTAGTTATTTAAAAATTTTTTTAAATATTTAATTTAAAAATTAATATTTTTATCTTATTTATGAAATAAAATTCTTTCATGCAAATTCGCACTCGATTTCCTGTATATATATACATTTAAAGTAACTTCTCTTTTGCAATAAACTTCGTCGGACAATAAGCTATTGTGTTTTGAGATTAAATGCGATTTAAATTAAAATGTAAAATATTATTCATAACTCAGTTTTTGTGTTGTTCGATCGTTATTTCCTTGTTATATTATTAATATTTTACACAGCTTTGAGGGCTTGTTTTAAGTATTTTTTTACTTCGTGGTCAAATGGAAAAACAAAATTTGAATCTTTGAATTTTATTTTTTTTTTATAAAAAAATATGCTAATATGCTGTTAAAAAATTAATTTAATCCTCTCATTTAATTTCATTCTATTTCAAATTTTAATTCACTATTTTAAAATTATATTTTTAAATTATTTTAAAAGGATCGGTAATAGTCATACGGCGTATTTACCTTATCTAATAGAAAGGAATAAAAGGCTACTTAGTTCTTGATATAGTTCAAAGTTAAGCTTGCGTCAGTGCTATTCAGACACTTACAATACTTTTTTTTTATTTCCTTATATGTAAATATATTCTAAGTTTCTTTTTTCTATTTATTTCAACAACTTTTAAATTAATATTAAAATTCCACGGCACATTATTTTTATAAATAATAAGTAAATAATTAATTTATTATTAATTTTATTAAATAATTATTATATTTTATTATTTATTTTTATTTATTGTTATTTATTATTATTTAATATTATTAATTATTAAAATTATATTTTTACATTCGATAAATACATTTGGAAAAATGATTGCTACGTTTGTAATTAACATATTATATTTATGTTTCATCTGAATGTTTATATAAAAAAATCAGTAAAATTCAACTTAATGACTGCTCTTATATAGTGTTTGACGAGATTCGAAAAGAGGTGCACACATGTAGAAAATTTGATTTCAACTATTCTCTTGATCTATTTTTTATTTTGTTTCGTTGAATATTATTTAAAAAAAAACTAACACTCGAAAGTACCTACATATATTATATATATATATGTGTAAGTCATGTGCTCTGCTAGGAGAACATTTATATCTGGTCATATTCAGTCGCGAGAGCTCTCTGCTCTTCTATCAGTATTAACGCGGCCAGCCTATCGTACACTTCTGTATTTATGTATTGTCAGTGTAAACATTCAAGCAAATGTGCAAAAATTATAATGACAATGTTTTAATTTAAATTTATATTTTTCTATATTAATATATAAATTTTCTTTTGCAAATAATAAACAAAAAATATAAGAAATTTTTTTTTTTCAATCGTTGAATGAATTTATTGAATAAAATAGGAATTTATTTTGTGACAAATAAGGAAATAACGAATATTTTGGAAAAAAAATGATTTTTTTGAACTTTCGGTGATTTGGAAATAAGATAATAATTAATTAAAGAGATAAAATATAGAAAAAAAAAGAACTGGATTAATGTGATCTCGTGGATTTGAAGAAAATATATTGGATGATTCTATAGTGAAACAGTGAAAGAAAAGAAGAAATTCAAGTAGATAGATCTATCAAAAGAAGAAGAAGAAGAAGAAAAAAAAGAAGTAAAGGACGTCTCGTGACCTCGACGTTAGGGAATCAAGATTGTAGCGACCACAGAACCTATTGATTGATGTGATTCTTATACCGACAAGTTGTTGCTAATTTTAAAGTGAGCGCTCAACAGTGCTACCACTTGAGATAAAGAAAACAGATGCAAAAAAAAAAATCAAAAGTGGCGCCAAAGGATTTTTTTTAAATTTAATACGATAAATTTCGTATAAAGAAAAAGGGCCCGTTAAACTTCAACTACAATTTATTTATCAGTCAATTTATTATAATAAATTGAAAGTATATATAAATGATAAAGTCAATGATTAATCATTCTCGCGAACAAGTGAAAGTGTTATCAATGATTGTTAGAACATCTGAATCGATTGAGACTATTTTGTTTCTTTATAGAGAGAAAAATCATCGTGACCACTTGATTATGGATAATAACGGAAGTATACGATTAGGTTAGTTTTTTCTTCTTTTTTTTTTTTTTTAATTTCAAAACGGTCATTGCTCTTTTGCAAGATAAATACATATTAATCTCATTTTTTAAAGTTTAAGAATCCACTTGAATTAACTGATAAGACACGTGTTATCTGTTTTTTTTTTAAATTTCATATTTAATAGAATCACGCTTATAATATTTGACTGGAATCTAATATTCAATTGAATTTTTTTTTTATCGATTATTTTGATTTTCTAATTTATTAATATTTCAACATCTGATTTATTTACATGATTTTCGATTTTTGTATTTATGATTATTATTATTCTGTTTATTTATGATTATTATTACTATTTTAATAACTTTGATTAATGTTATTAGAATTAGGTAGTAGATATAATTATTAATTAGACAAACACATTAGGCTAATTAGTTTCATAGAATGAAGTTACATTTTTTATTTTCTACTAATTACGAAGCAAGATATTGATTATTTATCTAATAACTATTTTGTAAAACAAATTATTTAATATTACAGAATCAATTTAAGAAATCCATTTTAAAAATTTAATTTAATAATTAAACGTGATTTTATTTTAAATTATAGTTCATTATTATATTTTTTTCTATTTCATTAAGTATTTAAAGCGGAAGTTCACGTACTCGAAAAATTTGTCTCTGTCTTATTCTCTATTTATAGAATTCATTGTCACGGTCAATCGCGTTTTTTTTTTCTTTTTAAAAATTCAAGTTTCGGTTAACTTAAATAATTAATGAATTCTTTTCTCGATCTTCACTTGTTTTTTTTTTCTCAAATAATACAAATTTCATTTTAAATGAAAATAATATAATGAAATTTAAATGAAATTCAATTTTAAATGTAAATTTCAAATATCGATTTCATTTATTTTGTTTTGTAAATATATAAAATGACAAAAAAAAATATGTGAAAGAGAAGAATGTTTTTTTTTCCACTAATTGACAATATACATATATATTGGGGGTGTATATGGTGATCGAAAGTTCAGTGGGTCAATCGTGTGGAATTTTGAAACAAACCGTCAGAAATGCAACATTATATATACATCGATAATCGATAAATCATCTGCTTGATGAATTTCAGGGTTTAGATGGATAATATATTCTGTCGCGAGTTACATTCATTGAACAATGATGGGAGTAAAAGAAAAAAAAAAAAAAAAAAAAAAAAGAGAGAGAGAGGTCGGTAAATTCTCGGTCAAACGCTATCAGAATTTTTCGCGATAACAATGTATAATAAATGATCGTAAAAATCCGACTGCAAATAGATTTTACGTTTGAGAAAGAGAGAGGGAGAGAGACATATTTTATTCTTCTTCTTATGAACAATGTTTCTGAAATGAATAACGAATATAAATTATTATTTTCAAAAATTATTAGACATTGAAAAATAAAAGTCTATTAAATTATATAATATGAACAAAATACACAATAGTTTTTGAGAAAATTCTTTTCAACTTTTTGATAATTCTCATATTAGAGATTCTATAAATAGTTTATGAAATATAATCCCCAATTGAAATTTAATGACAAATGAAAGAAAAGATAAGAAAATCATTTTTTAATTTTTTTGAAAAATCTAAAAGTAATTTTTATTAAAATTTTGAAAATTTTTAAAAGTATTTTTTTTTTTTAAATAAAATGTTTTTCTTTATTTTTCATTTATCGAATAGAACAATTGAAACGTTGCTAAACATATTTTATTTTTATTTATGTTATTTAAATTCCTTATTCATTTTTTTTTAGATTTTACTGATAGTATTATATATAAGCCTTGTCGTCCAACCATGTGCAAAATGAACTTATCTGTATTGTGAGTAATTCAAACAGTTTTTTTTTCCCTACATTTTTCATTGTTCTAATCGTTATCAATATTTCAGTTATATTTGTGATTAAATATTCTTATTTCACATTGAATATACGAAATATCAGTAATTTAACAAATTAAATGAAAATTTAATTTATTTAATTAAAATTTTAATTTTAATTTTTTAATTTTTAATTATTTTCTTTTAAATTTGATAAGATTTTTACTTTTTAAAGAAATTCTTCTTTTTACAGGAATACTTTTTGTTCAAAACTTTTTCCACGATAATATTTCCATTGCATATATATATACGAAATGTGGAAAGTACATAAAACATTTTTAAAAGGTGACATTAAGACAAATGGTTTTCAAAGACGTTATAAATATTTCTTCTTTTAAGAAAAACAATTCTTTTGATAAAAAAAAAAAAGTTTAGAAAATGGAAGAAAATCTGAAATTGATGGCACTATGCCAGAGTTGGAAAATTCAACTAAAAAACTTTTGTGTATTCATATATTTATACAAACACCTCGACCTGGTTAATTAATTAGTCTCCGAAAAGCTGAATTAATTTGCCACGTAAAAATTCCGTAGGAAGAGAGAAACTACATTTTAAAGTCTATTACAATAGAAAATTAACCTTTCATTTATATATTAATAATTTAAATTAATTATAATTATTTTTTATTAATTATAAATTACATATATTATTTATTCATAGTTCTTTGTTATTATTATTATATTAATTAAATTAATTAGAAATTAAAATTTCAGTTTTGAAAATTTAGAAAAATTGAAAAAAAATTCGTCAAAAAATTAATATGACCTTTAAAATGAATTTTATAAAATTGATCTTATCCTGCGCGTAAAATTTCGATTAATTATATTTTTTGGGTACAACTGAACTATGAGAAACACGTGAAGAAATTCTTATCATTATACTTTTGTGTAATCAAGAATGAACTTGTATTAATTTGAACTTAAAAAGTAAATCGTTAACTTCCTGTGCCCAATTATATATGACTCCAAATATAAGTGCGAGTAATAATTATTTTTATACTCATCATATATTATGAAATTAGACTTTTATTCCTCATATATATTTTCTCAAGCCACACATTGAAAATTTAGAAATTATTATATTTTCATTACATCTTATCTTGTACCTAAGTTATAACATCATTATTAAATTTATTCTTTCGAACTTAAATTTTCCACATTGTATATCTTATCCTCTCATATCGAATTTTTATTTATTTATTTATAGATTGATAATTTTTTAATTATCTCAAAAAAAAAAAGTTGGACAATTTTATTGGGTTACTGGTACAAATTAATTAGATAATGAGAATTCATCAGATAAGATTTTTAGAAAATGAAAAAAAAAAATTTTTAATTCTTATTTTTTTAATTTTTAATAAAAAGGAAGTCTAGTTTTTATTATATGGATAATATAATAAAATTAGCCTTTCCTTTTTATGTCTCTTGTAAAAAATAAGATTAAATTTCGTCTCTTCTTTGTTTGGTAATAATTTGAGATTTTTTTTTTTATTCTTATCTATGTTGTCCTAGATTTTATTTTATTGAGCACGATATTGCGAGAGATAAAGAATGCGGTAAAGATTTTTAGCATTAAATAGAAGATTTATTAATTTTTTTTTATAAGTATTTTTATATTAAAAAAAAATTTGAATAAATTATTTTTAAAATTTTAATTTAATAATTTTTTATAAATTTTATTTATACGAAAAAACAATGGATTTAAATTACAATTGATAAATAAAAATAATAATAGTAATTAGAAATTATTTTTTTTAGTAAAAAAAATTCATATATTGTAAAATTAAGACATTGAGTTTGTGTATAGAAAGAGATAGAACTAGTACGTACCACTTTATGTCCTTAAATTGATAGCAACTCATATACAATGAACTTTATTTATATAATCGCTGCTGTACTTAACTCGAGTTGCTTCTATACTGGTTATAAGATACATATGCAGGAAATCTTGGATATTAGTCGTCAAAGAAAATGGGATACTGGCTTTTTGGGTCGTTTAAAAATTAAATTATTGATCACGAAACATTATAAAAAATTGAAGGAATTTATATTTTCCTTTCATTCACAAAACTGGTTTCCTTGAAAAAAAAAAAAAAAAAATTTATTTAAAAAATTCCACTTTAGAAATTAGCCGAAAGTTTTGAACGTTCATATGAAGGAAATATTTTTTTCAATCTATAAATTATTAAAAATTATAATGACCATGTAAAATAAAACAGTAAATTAAACAATTATTAAATTAATAATTTCTTTTTTGATATTTTGAACAATATTTTGTAATAAAATTCGTACTTAAAGAAGTTGCAAAAAAAATTTCTTTCATATAAACGTTCAAAACTTTTCGCTCATCTTTTGAAAATAATAATGACTTGTACACTTTGTGAATTATTTAACATCATTTTCGTCGTGTCTATTATTTTTTATAAAAAAAAAATAATGACTACTTGAAAATTAGACGAGAGTTAAGAAATCCGTATTTTTTGTAATTATACGAAAAATGGTTTTTTTTAAAGAAAAAATATTTTTATAAATTTAATTATAATTTTTAAAAAGATATTTTTAAATTATTTTTATAAATTTAATTATAATTTTTAAAAAGATATTTTTAAATTGTTATTTTAAATTTAATTATAATTTTTAAATTATTTTTAAATTATTATTTTAAATTTAATTATAATTTTTAAATTATTTTTAAATTATTATTTTAAATTTAATAATAAAGAAAAAGATACAAAAAATTTTTTGAATTTTATTATTTTTAAATTAATTATAACTTAAAAAAAAATTTTTTTTTTATATGAATTTGGGTGATTATTTATTTATCTAATTGAAATAATTGAATTTTTAGTGTAAACCGAAAGAGCTGAAGTAGAACCGTTCGCCGCATGGGTGCCTGGGTTAGTGATCGTGTCGTGGTGGAGGAGGAGGTGGTCCTGAGAGTCCAGGATACGTGGAAGTGGACAACGACAACAATCCTGGGTACCATCTGCGATGGTGGCGGCGGCCAACACGAGACCAGGTCTTCCTTGTCCCTGTTACCGCTTCGTCGTCAATTTACTCGACAGCTTTATGAGTGGCCAATTACACCTTTATTTAAATCAAGGACGAAACTAGTCAATTTTTAAGTTTACAAATTTTGTGATTTGTGTGATAAAAAAAAAAAATATATATATATAAATATATATATAAGTATCAAGAGAAAGAAAACAAAGCCAAAGAGAAAAATCGAAATTTCGCGTGTGAAATAAATTTTTTTTTTATTTTTTTTCTCAAAAAAAAAAAAAGAGGATCACAATGGCCGAATGGAAATTCTTTAATGGAGAGAAAACAAATCCAATATTGACGGAGGATAATGATGACGATGATGATGATGATGAATCGGTGAAATTAAAAAATTCTATTCAACTTGAACATTGTGGACAATTGGAGGATGGTCAAGAAAAAATAATTGATGAAAAGGAACAATTTATTGAAATTGTAAACGATCAATTGGAATCGGGTTTGAAAATTCGTATTGAAGCGCGAGAGGAATTAAAAAAGGATTCACCAAAACGACCCGAGAGTCTTTATAAAGAAGATTCATTGAAAAATGTTTTTGGTAATACAATATTTGGATCATCATCACCACCACGTCTTCTTGTGGCAAATAATCTTACTCTTAATGAAAAGAGTACAGAGAAATTGGTTAATGGAAAATCGCCTAAAGATGAGAAACAAGTACTTCATGTTCAATTTAATAAGGATTCGAAAATAAAAAATCAGAATCAAAAATTAAATCAAAAGGCGAATCTTTCGATATCAACATCAAGTTCAAGTAGTTCGGAGGATAATTCAAGTTTAGAAAATTTTTCCGAACCAAGACCACCTGATGGAGGATGGGGTTGGGTTATTGTTATGGCATCATTTATGGTGAATTTAATAGCCGATGGTATTACATTTTCATTTGGTGTAATATTTGTGGAATTTGTTAAATATTTTGGTGAGGGTAAATCAAAAACAGCTTGGATTGGCAGTTTGTTTATGGCAATGCCATTACTTTCGGGACCAATTGCAAGTTTTTTAACTGATCGTTATGGTTGTCGTAAAGTTTCAATAGTTGGTAGTATATTGGCAACAACTGGCTTTGTCATTAGTTCATTTGCCAATTCAATGTGGATTATTATTTTAACATTTGGCATTATTTCTGGTTTTGGATTGTCATTATGTTTTGTTGCCGCCGTTGTTATTGTTGCTTATTATTTTGATAAAAAACGATCATTTGCCACTGGATTATCAGTTTGTGGAAGTGGAATTGGAACTTTTATATTTGCACCAGTAACACAGTATCTACTCGCTGAATATGGATGGCGTGGTACGACATTAATTCTTGCGGGATTATTTTTAAATCTCGCTGTATGCGGTTGTTTAATGAGAGATTTAGAATGGACGACAACAAGAGCAAAGGCAAAAACTGAGGAGAGACGGAAAAATCGTGAGAAAAAAAGAACAAAAATACAAAGTTCAAGTGCCGATTCATTTTCGGCGAGTAGTTCAGCGAATACAACAACACAAACACCGCATGGTGATGCAAAACGTGGTTTTGCATCGGCAAATGCAATGATTATTGAAAATTTACGTGTTCAAGACGATGAGGATGGGGGTAAATTATTTTCGAGTTTAGTGAATTTACCAACATTTGTGAAAAATGGGGAAAAAGTGCCACTGGAGGTACTTGAATTATTGAGTACGAGAAAAAATGTTTATAATGTTTTATTACAAAATTATCCAAGTCTATTGATATCATCGAGAAGTTTCAGTGATTCAGGAGCGTTACACGATCAATTGACTATTCCTTCGGCGAGATTTGTACATCCATTGGTTGATCTCAATAAGGAGAAAAATGGTGATGATGAGAAAAATTATCGACAAAATAGTGATGCAGCATATTTATGGTGGTTGAAAAAAATTAACAACGAGAGTCCATTAAGACGTTCAAATAGTTTACAACATCAGAAGAGAGTACCAACTGCTTATTTAAAGGATATACGAGTGCATAGACATAGTTTAACGTATAGAGGAGCTATGCTTAATATCAATAGATATCGATTAAGGGCATCGAGTTGTCCTGATATTTATCGTAATTCAATGACAACAATTGCTAAAACAAAAATTGTTTGGTACGCTGGTCTTTGGGAATTTTGGGATTTGCTTGTTGATATGTTGGATTTTTCACATTTTAGTGATTCAAGATTTTTGCTATTTTCCATCAGCAATTTTCTATTGCATTTCTGGTACGATGTGCCTTATGTATATCTCACCGATAATGCCATTGAAATGGGCTTCAGTGAAAAACAGGCGTCCATTCTTATCTCAGTTATTGGCATCACTAATATGGTTGGAGAGGTGAGAATAATATTATTTCAAAAATAGAAGAATTCACTAATCTTATTTTTACCTAATCGAATTGATTGTCGGGGGAAACTTTTTTTTTTAAACTCATTTTGTTTAATCCCCGTTGTGTAAGACGAAACCTTATAATTTAGATATATTATCTATATTTTTTGTATTATTTCGTAATATTTTCTTTTTTCAATCGAAAAATTGTAATAGAAAATAATTTTCCGTTTGAAATTAAAATAAATTAAGTAGACGGGAGATTTTTTTTTGTTTTTTTTTTCAATCAGACATTGATCTGTTTACAAAGGATAGAGGCTTAGACTTCCAGAAGGCAAGAGTGCGATTCATCGAGGTCGATCCTGACGTCGTCTCGCCTCTGATCCTATAATAGGCAATTTCATTATTCCAAGCGGATCGTTAATTTGGGTCAAACTATTGAAAGACTTGTATAAGAAATATTATTTTTTTCCCCATTGAAACGATTTTTTTTGGCAAAATATAGAAAATTTTTTGTTTCGAATTTTAATGTAATTTGTTTGTTTTTAGATTTTCCTTGGCTGGGCTGGTGATCGAGCATGGGTGAATGCCTCAATGGTGTATGCGATCTGCATGTTTCTATGCGGTACTGTAACGGCGATGATTCCCTTAGCGGTCAACAACTATTCTGCACTATGTGCAATTTCCGGTGCCTTTGGACTTTTCATCGCTGCAAACTACAGTCTCACTAGTATTATTCTCGTTGAAGCCATCACCCTGGAGAGATTCACTAATGCTTACGGTCTTCTCTTACTTGTTCAGGGCATCGGAAATCTCATGGGACCTCCACTTGCTGGTAAAATTTTCAGCAAACAAAATAATTATTTTTTTTCTATTAATAAATTCAAAAAAAAAAAATCTAATTAATGTTAATTAATAAAGTTTTACTAAATGATAATTTAGTCGTAAATTTACAAATGACTCAAATCATTTTTCATTGCATTTAATAGTATACATATACATACAGTAGGATAATCTGGGTATTGATTTCAAATCAAGTGAGCTTCCTTTACACGCGAGACCTCTACGAGAATTTGCTACCACGTGCAGATATAATAAAATTCTCTAGCAACTCGTCAATAAAAGGTCGGAGCTAGTAGGATCAATTATTATATTATTGTACCACCCAATGGAAATTGGAGCCGAGTCTTTCCATCTTTAATGGGTTCCAGATTATTCCACATTTCTAAAGCCCATATTATTATTATTGAGATTCAATCGAGCTTGTCTTTGAAAGCCAATTATTCTCACTCCCGCATAGATTTAAATTAATTTATTACCCATTTTAGTTTTCTATATATGTATATATACTTCCCGTTCATTTATACGATTTATCATTAAAATTAAAATTGTACAATTAAAAATTATTAAAATAATATTTATTGTTGAATAATTTTTTTTTCTATTTTTCTTTTAGGCTGGCTGTATGACATCACAGGATCTTACGATTGGTCCTTTTATTTGGCAGGATTTTTCATAGCTCTCAGTGGAACAATGCTAATGGTTATGCCACTGTTAGATATGTTTCGCAGATGCAGCTGTACAAAACGAAAAAATAAAACAGGACAATTTTCCGATATCAACAGTGTTTGAAATATAATATAAATAATAAGGAATGATTCTAAGAATTGAAAGATATATATAAGCGACAACCAATATATATATATATAACACTTCCAAGCAGGAATTGCGAAGCGTCTTGTGTATTTCAAGGACGATTGAAAATCGTCTTAGCAATATTAATATTTTTTTTCATTTCTTTTTTCTATAAACATCGAGTCCATAATTTTGTCAAAATGGAATTTCTTCCTTAGACAAAAAAAGTTAGTTAATAAGTAAAAAAAAAAACCGACGATAATAATTACACAATTTTTTAATACTTCGCTATATATAATATAAATATAAAAACGTCGGGATATTCTTTTTTATAGTGAGAAACAAAAATATAGCACACCTGTAGGTTGCTAAAACGACCTTTTTCAAACGTTTGCCTGCCTCGAAATTCCTTTTGTAAAAAAAACCAAAATGAAGGGACAATTTTTCGTCTCATGACGAAAATATTTGCGACAACGTAATTTATTATCACTTCGAGTGTGAAATTCGAACTTTGCGATATAGAAATATGCAAAAAATTAGAACGAGAAGCTTTCTGTAGTTTCAATATTGAGTGACTCGATTTTTTTTTTCATATTCTATTGTCACAATAATGTTCGTGGAAATTAAGATTATTATAATGAAAATAATAATAATGATACAGATTTTTCGAGTCACTTTCAAATATATAATAACGAGTTCCGAATCTCAGGATGTTTTTCGTTACCACAAATTTATATTAGAGTGGTGGCATCCTCGAAGTTTATAAAGTATTCTCTTAGGTTTTTTGCTGTTAAATTTTTTCCTCGTTGTGCTTTATGAGAAAATTTGAAAAACTATTTAAAAAAAAGACAATAGAATCAGAGTATTTAAAATAACTTTAATAACAATTTCCAATTTTAACAAGCCTTTGGGCTTCATATATTAATACTATTTTAAAAAATCAATTTTTTCCTTCATGAAACTGAAACTAGCGATTTTTTTAAATTTTAATTTAAATTCAACAATTTTTAAACTAATTTTTATTTTGGATTTTAAGATTTTGTATAATTTTAATCCAATTATTGATTTACAATTTTAAATTAATGGCAGCTAGTTTTAGTTTCATTTTTTTTTCTATTTTCTCTTTAAATAACTTTTATAAGTCCTTTTTATATTACAAAGATTTGCATTAATTTTCCTTGTCACTTATGTCGATTAAACTTCGAAATCGAGTCTGTTGATTAAATACAAAAATTTAAACATTATTAAAATATATAAGAATTGTTTTAAAACCATTGGAAGAAAATAATGACAGACTCGATGACACTAATATAATTACAAGACACTTGCAAATATATTTGAAACGTTATAAAAATAAAACAAACAAAAAATTGTGTGTACATAGGAGTTCTTGTATGCATAGCTTTTCTGTGATGATACGAAACTACATCAATTTTATCCATTTTTGCCGATAGAATTTTAAACCATTCAATCTAAATAGCTGCAGAATGATATATTTAATTTAATTAAATTTTCAAATTCAAATTATGTTTTTTGAATCAGAAAATCTTGATTAAAATATTTTTATAAGGAAATTTCTTAATTTTTAATTTATTGTCATTAATTTTATTTTTTAATAAAAATTCATCTTGCAGCGAATTTAGAAAATTGAGTGATGAGCGGCCTTGAAGGCATCTATATAAAATATAAAAAAAAGGAATATTTTATTAAAAAAAAATAGTAACTCGAAATTTTTCGGGTATACGAGTTTAATATATTAAAATAGCGAAAGCGATTATGAATTTTGAGAAAAGTGAACGAGAAAAAAAAATGGCACATTATAAATATATATAAATAAAATGGCCATTGGAATGTGACAAAAAAAAGGAGTTTATTATCTCTAGGATAATTAGATTTCCTTATAAAATTAAAAATGAGTAATCAGAGTCGTTCACAATTTTCTCTTAAGTTTTTTGTAAATATAGAGAATTAAAATATTTATATATAAAGTTTATAATACTAATTTTTTTTTTTGTTTTTATATAAAACAATTTTTTCGCCTGAGAATTGTGATATAATTATATCGTAAAATTGCTTGAATATGAATCACAATAAAAAAGAATTATCACAATTGTTGTAATTCATATTCATTCTTACTGTATATATATATATGGGAATTGAAAATAATTTCTTTATGAATTGCATTTTGATTTATAAATATTATTTTTAGAATTTTTCATTTAGTAAAAAAAAAAAAAAACAAAACGACTCTGAAAAATGTAATTCCCAAATTATTTACACCTCTGCAGTGCCTGCGAGTTTATGTGTGAATTATTTTCGCACTAATAGTGCAGGCGCGACGTCTCACTAGACTACGATTTAAAAAAAAAAGAAGGACGTGCGTACCTTTGTTTTAAGACTTCTTTTTAGATAAAAACTTAGAAAAAAAATCCATTTTCGAATTATATACATTACAATACATAGACATGCCCATACATTCGTATTACATAAATCTTATAAATATGTATAATACAAAAAAAAAGCAAACAAATATATTATATGAAAAATCCTATTTCAATTAAAATAAAATCGAGAAGAGTAATTATCGTTGTTAATTTATTATAATGAGATTGAGAATTTCAGTTGCAATAAAAAGTTTCATAAATCATAAAATGATTTATTGTTTATCATTAAAAAAGTAAGTGTGTCTCGTTCGAATTTTTGAAAATCGAAATTGTTATTAAAAAAAAAAGAATTTGCTTTTTCCTCTTTTGTTCCATGAAAATTAGTTTTTAGATAGACAAACAGTAAAACCTATAATCGCACGTTATCAAATGAAGAAGCTTGCGTGATGTGTTTTTCGAGAATTATAATAAATCTGTCGGTCTTGAGAGAGTATGGTACATATATATACAAATCACGGTTTACTGCGCAAGACTATAAATGAGTGGCATGCGCCCTTGTTCAGGTGTTTTCACGGTAAATGGTTTCATCTTCTTCAGTTCGTTCTCTGTTCCGCAGTAGGGTTAATCTCAAATCTAATTTCATCCCTTAAAACTGAAATATTACCAAAAAAAAAAAAAAAAGAAAAATTATCAACAATTGTTAATATTAACAAAAAGTTTAAACTCACAAGAAAAATAATAATCACACCTGTTAATAAATACGGTCAAGTGTTTTTTCATTCATAGAAAGTGCATTTATTCTTCTGTTTACAATATATATATACCTGTATTTGAAAGGAGGCGCTCTTTTAATCACTCCTATTCGCATATATAGCTAATTGCTTTTTTATTTGAATTTTTTCAAAAGTAAATTTTGAAAAATCTACCTGGAAAACAAATTGGAAAAATCTTCTAGTATTTCATCTATTGCAGTGGTGAGCTTTGATGTCATTTTTATTTCTATTTTTTCCCATAATTTTTTTTTTTCAAGAAAGTTGAAAGTGATCTTTCTCCTTCCCTCCCAGAGAGTGTGATTATAGCGACCATGGATCAATGAGAAAACGCCCCGGTTTGATTTTTTTTCCTTTCTATATTTTTTTGTTCTATTATTACAAATATACTGGAAATCTTATTTTAATTTACATTTTTTTCTTTTCTCTATAAAAAAATCGACTTGTTGAATCCAAAATATTTATTTTTTGTCGAACACAATTTTTGTGGTGTTTATTTATTATACAATAATTTGTTTGTTTTTTTTTAAACATTTTATACAGGTTGTTTACAAAGTTACAGATTAAATATTTTTTAGATTATGAAATAATGGTTTTATTTTTATTATTAAAAAAATGTTTATAGAAAATTCTGCAGTAATATTTAAATGAATGGTAACTTTTTGGACACCCTGTATACATTATTGGTGTTATGAATTTTTTTTATTAGTTATTTTTCTGTTCTAATATAAGGGAAATTTTTTTTTTTTTTACTTTTGTAATGAATGTAATTTATTTTTTTTTTTAGTTGCCTGCGAATAGTTACCACACAAGCACCATGCACGATTGTACTGAATGAATCTCTTTTCTTGTCTTTTAGTTGGCTGAGAACACTCACCTATAGTAGTGGCACAGTATCGTAAAACAATGGAGAGGTGACTATCGAGTTACAAAGACACTTAACAAATTTTTTTTGACACTTATTTTCAATTTGCTATATAAATTATTTTTTGCTGGAAAAATTTGGCAAATCAAAATATTTCTTTTTTTATGAAAAAAAAAATATTTTGAAAAAATTTATTTTCATTATAATAAATAATTATAACTTGTTTTTAGAATCAAATGCAAATAATATCCAAAATTCATAATATGATCTCTTAAAATTTATATGCTTTCTGTCTTTTGCCGTCAAGATAAGAATATACCAGTTGCAAATACAGAATAGTCTCAAGGTTTTATAAAAAAAAAATCTTGTCATAATTTATATTTTAGGCATTTTTTACATGTCACCTCTTCAGTTCACGAATTATATTAATTTTTTGTTCTAAAATTGAAAAATTTTGTTTTTATATATTTTTTAAAAATTTGTGAAATTGTAAAATAGTAAAATAGTAAAATGGTGAAATTTTGTAATTACTAATTATTTAATAATTTTCCATTAACTTTATATACGTGCCTGGGTTACAATTTGTTAATGAATGCTAAATGTCAATGACATTGACACTGTTGACACTATTTAGCGAATACACTGACAAATACTTAGAAAAACATTTTTCTTAATTCAATAAAGCTAAACAAAAATATTTGAATGAGAAAAATAAAAATATTTAATTTTTTTTTAATTTCGAAAATAATTTTTTTTAGGTTTAGAATTGAAAAATTTTTCTAAAATATAAATTATTAATTTTAATATATTGTATAGAATTTTTTTTTCTCAATAATTTATTATTGGCTGACTGAAAACTGCCTAAACTACTCGCACTGGGGAAAGTTACTAAATACCATACAATGGCTGACCATTTCCTCGCTGTTACTACTTTCATTATGTAAAGTTCAAATATTAGGACAAAAAAAAGGAATAATTTTTTTTGAAGATTATTTTTTAAAAAATTCGGTTTTTTAAAATTAAAATTTAATAAACAGTAGCTTATCATTGAAAATTATAATTATCTTCCGCCTGTAATAATTCAGAAAATTGTCAAAAGAAAAAAAAAATAGAGTCATCTGAAATGGATTTAATCTCATTGTTGACTTCACTCAAGTTAAATAAAGACTACTTGACGCCAATGTTCGAACAATTTTATTCACACACGTATTTTTTTTTTTTTTTTTTTATTTTTTTTAAGTGAATATAAATTTAGCGACTGTATAAATTTAGTTTTGTTATAAGAAATCGTTTTTCTTTTGGTGAGCCAAAATCTTGAAATTTTCTCAGGAAACATTGAAATTATTTTTCAAACGTGTATGTGTATAGTAAAGTTGACCTAGACATATGAAAATAGAAACAGTTTCGGGAAAATTCACGTACATAAACTTAGCGAAACAACTTCAAAAACCAAAAGTCTTATATAGACCAAAATTTGCCGCTTTTTAGTCGCTAATTAGTTGTGAAAAAAAAAATTTTGTCGCTCTTCAATTTTTTTTAAAATAGGGTGCTTTGCTAAGTTTACATAAAGTTAGCGAAGCACCCATTCTAACTCCGTTGTTTACAAAGATTCACAAAATTCTTCTTGACAGAAATTTGCCGTTTTTTTGCCGTAACAAGACCAAATAATTCATTTTCCAAAAACCCAAAAAATTAATTAAAAAAATTTAAAAAAAAAAATTTTTTAATTTCAAAAAAAAATTTTTTTAAATTTAAAAATAAAATTAAGAAAAAAATTTTTATACGAACTGTAAATGAATGTAAATTAAACAACTGCAGATGAATCACATAAGTACAGTAAAAAAAATGTAATTCATATAGAAAAAGAAAAACTTATTTGTTAAATTTTACATTAAACTAAATTAAATTATTTCATAAGAATTTAAAATCTATGCAAGAGAAAATACGTAATCATAAATTATAAAAAAAAATTAATCAACTACTCATACGAAGAACTACTCAAGCAAAAAAAAATATTCTTAAAAAAAATTAATTTCATTACCTCATTTCACTTACATATAACTAACTACAAAACTTTCATTAAAAATGTTAATTGTTATTAAAAATCAATTTTTTACTTCATTTTTGACGTTAACTTTTTTAAAACAGTATTTATCAATTTTAATTTGTCACGACAAAATCGAAACCAAATGAAATGATCTTAATAGTCAAAGCGACAAATTCCCCAAGTAAAATTTGAATTAAAAAAGTTAATTGATATTAAAAATCACATTTTCAATTTCGTTTCCGACTTAAAATTTTTTTAATCACTATTTATCAATTTTAATTTGTCACGACAAAATCGAAACCTACTTGAATACACTTAATAGTCAAAGCGACAAATTCCCCAATTAAAATTTTCATTAAGAAAAATTAATTGTTATTAAAAATCACAATTTCAATTTCGTTTTCGACTTAAAATTTTTTTAATTCGTATTTATCAATTTTAATTTGTCACGACAAAATCGAAACCTACTTGAATACACTTAATAGTCAAAGCGACAAATTCCCCAATTAAAATTTTCATTAAAAAATATTAATTGTTAATAAAAATCACATTTTCAATTTCGTTTTCGTCTTAAAATTTGATTAATCCATATTTATCAATTTTAATTTGTCACGACAAAATCGAAACCTACTTGAATACACTTAATAGTCAAAGCGACAAATTCCCCAATTAAAATTTTCATTAAAAAATATTAATTGTTATTAAAAATCACATTTTCAATTTCGTTTTCGACTTAAAATTTTTTTAATCACTATTTATCAATTTTAATTTGTCACGACAAAATCGAAAACTACTTGAATACACTTAATAGTCAAAGCGACAAATTCCCCAATTAAAATTTTCATTAAAAAATATTAATTGTTATTAAAAATCACATTTTCAATTTCGTTTTCGACTTAAAATTTTTTTAATCACTCTTTATCAATTTTAATTTGTCACGACAAAATCGAAACCTACTTGAATACACTTAATAGTCAAAGCGACAAATTCCCCAATTAAAATTTTCATTAAAAAATATTAATTGTTAATAAAAATCACATTTTCAATTTCGTTTTCGTCTTAAAATTTGATTAATCCATATTTATCAATTTTAATTTGTCACGACAAAATCGAAACCTACTTGAATACACTTAATAGTCAAAGCGACAAATTCCCCAATTAAAATTTTCATTAAAAAATATTAATTGTTAATAAAAATCACATTTTCAATTTCGTTTTCGTCTTAAAATTTGATTAATCCATATTTATCAATTCTAATTTGTCACGACAAAATCGAAACCTACTTGAATACACTTAAAAGTCAAAGCGACAAATTCCCCAAGTAAAATTTTCATTAAGAAAAATTAATTGTTATTAAAAATCACATTTTCAATTTCGTTTTCGACTTAAAATTTTTTTAATTCGTATTTATCAATTTTAATTTGTCACGACAAAATCGAAACCTACTTGAATACACTTAAAAGTCAAAGCGACAAATTCCCCAAGTAAAATTTTCATTAAGAAAAATTAATTGTTATTAAAAATCACATTTTCAATTTCGTTTTCGTCTTAAAATTTGATTAATCAATATTTATCAATTCTAATTTGTCACGACAAAATCGAAACCTACTTGAATACACTTAATAGTCAAAGCGACAAATTCCCCAATTAAAATTTTCATTAAAAAATATTAATTGTTATTAAAAATCACATTTTCAATTTCGTTTTCGACTTAAAATTTTTTTAATCACTCTTTATCAATTTTAATTTGTCACGACAAAATCGAAACCTACTTGAATACACTTAATAGTCAAAGCGACAAATTCCCCAATTAAAATTTTCATTAAAAAATATTAATTGTTAATAAAAATCACATTTTCAATTTCGTTTTCGTCTTAAAATTTGATTAATCCATATTTATCAATTTTAATTTGTCACGACAAAATCGAAACCTACTTGAATACACTTAATAGTCAAAGCGACAAATTCCCCAATTAAAATTTTCATTAAAAAATATTAATTGTTAATAAAAATCACATTTTCAATTTCGTTTTCGTCTTAAAATTTGATTAATCCATATTTATCAATTTTAATTTGTCACGACAAAATCGAAACCTACTTGAATACACTTAATAGTCAAAGCGACAAATTCCCCAATTAAAATTTTCATTAAAAAATATTAATTGTTATTAAAAATCACATTTTCAATTTCGTTTTCGACTTAAAATTTTTTTAATCACTCTTTATCAATTTTAATTTGTCACGACAAAATCGAAACCTACTTGAATACACTTAATAGTCAAAGCGACAAATTCCCCAATTAAAATTTTCATTAAAAAATATTAATTGTTAATAAAAATCACATTTTCAATTTCGTTTTCGTCTTAAAATTTGATTAATCCATATTTATCAATTCTAATTTGTCACGACAAAATCGAAACCTACTTGAATACACTTAAAAGTCAAAGCGACAAATTCCCCAAGTAAAATTTTCATTAAGAAAAATTAATTGTTATTAAAAATCACATTTTCAATTTCGTTTTCGACTTAAAATTTTTTTAATTCGTATTTATCAATTTTAATTTGTCACGACAAAATCGAAACCTACTTGAATACACTTAAAAGTCAAAGCGACAAATTCCCCAAGTAAAATTTTCATTAAGAAAAATTAATTGTTATTAAAAATCACATTTTCAATTTCGTTTTCGTCTTAAAATTTGATTAATCAATATTTATCAATTCTAATTTGTCACGACAAAATCGAAACCTACTTGAATACACTTAATAGTCAAAGCGACAAATTCCCCAATTAAAATTTTCATTAAAAAATATTAATTGTTATTAAAAATCACATTTTCAATTTCGTTTTCGACTTAAAATTTTTTTAATCACTCTTTATCAATTTTAATTTGTCACGACAAAATCGAAACCTACTTGAATACACTTAATAGTCAAAGCGACAAATTCCCCAATTAAAATTTTCATTAAAAAATATTAATTGTTAATAAAAATCACATTTTCAA